GTTTGTGTTCCAGCTTTCGATCAGCAAACTATATATCCATAATCCACCAGTTAAAGGAAATACAACTAATGTATTGTGTTATATTAGCTGTACAATTTACCACATATGGTGTTCTTAGTTTCCATACCTCCTGTGTTTTACGAGCGACTTACCGCATCATTATGAGAATACATTTCTTAACAAGAGAACATGATCGAGGGGTGATCAATAAAATTTCCGTATTTATTTATTTCTCCAAGTTATGTTTTTGTGTGCACTGAGGAGTCTCAAACAGGCGTTTGTTAAATTCATTTTAAGATTGGCTTTAATCAATGTTTGAAAATTAATTCTTCATATTTGATAAATGAGAGGTAACATTTTTATTTATGGTATTATTTTCCACATATTTCTCTCCATTCTTCCTTCTGCCAACGGTGTCGCAGTTTCTCGTCTCTCCCGTTTTTGTGCTTAGTGCGTACGCATGGGTCAGAGTTTGCGTGGAGGACCGCACATTTTCCCGTCAAGTTTATTTTTTATAAATCGCAAACATTGCGTAGAAACTGGCGTACGCCATATTTTGAGCGTACGCACCGTTTATAACAATGGAGCGGTTCATCGATTATACTTTGAGCTTGGCCTTAAATATAAAGATATAACATCAGTGCTTGGCAATAGGCACGGGTTTCACATAAGTGAAAGACACCTCAAGAGAACACTCAGAGCGAGGGATGAAAGGAATGACACAGAGGAATGAAAATCCTGCGATTATACAAATCACCATAAACGCTGTAGCTGGAGGGCAGAAAGATGTTGACAACATCTCCCTTCTCCAGCTGAAGAACAATTTGAGTTAGACGCAGAGACATAGCCATAGGCATCATTGTAATCCTCAAGCCTCATCTTCATCTGGTTGTTGTGATAGAATTCAACAGAGGTATAAGTTACAAAGCGGCTTCCCCACATTGTTGAATCTGAAGTAGTAGACTCCTTTGACGGGGGCTGTGAAGATACCTGCATCAGAGGAGAAGGTCAGTGAGGGGAGATTGTTTTCTGATGCTTGAGCAGGACCTTAAGGATGTTTTTTTTTTAAATAAGGAGCATGTAGGAGCTCTTGACTTTGTTCTATTTTCTACCATGATGAACTGTAGGAAAACTAAGAGATGTTTTAATGGTTCATTAAGAAAACTCTTAAGAAAGCTTACAGTCACACATCTACTGTAAATGAATGTGTGTGTGTGTGTGTGTGTGTGTGTGTGTGTGTGTGTGTGTGTGTGTGTGTGTGTGTGTGTGTGTGTGTGTGTGTGTGTGTGTGTGTGTGTGTGTGTGTGTAACATGTATTTTATGTGTAACTTTTTTCAAGGGAAGCTCCTTTTTTCCGTCTCTCACTTGTTCCCATGTTGCCAGGAGGCTGACATCCACATGCCCTCTGTAGCTGTGTTTGTGCAGCAGCTCCACAACCTCCAGGACGATAACGGAGCGATAGATGTAATAAATATAGTACACTAAAGACACAGTCAGCAAACTGACCTGCAAACAGAGAGAGAGAGAGTTATATTTATACAGCCGTCAACGCATAAACAGGTAGATTATTTTAAAGGTTAAAACCATGCTGTGACCCTTCCACAGGTATGTTGGTTTAAGAGCTGCAGGTTACTTTACCCTGTCGGATAGGTCATTGTGATCTTGTGTGCATTGGTGTGTGGCCAAGTGTGTGTGTGCATGTTTCTGTGTGCTTACTGTATCTTAAAGTTGTGTGCACGCCAAAAAGAAATCATATTATGTTGATAGTTATATTTTTGCCTGTGTGAGTAGTTATAAGACTCCCGCTTGTGTCCGAATTAGATTAAGTACCTGATAAGAGAGTGATTTATGACCCCCATAAACCTTAGTCCCGCCTCCAAATCCCTTTGAAGTGGCACCTGTCACTCTGACATCTGACCTTTGACATCTGACCTTTGACCCTCTTATCTTTTACGACTTGTTTGTTTATAACCCTGATAAGGATATTGCACAATAGGGAGGGTGATAAGACTTTATCACCCTTTGATGTTAACCCTGTTAGGTATCTTAGTAGGTCATTATTTGTTAATGATAAACCAAGATAGTATGATAGTATGACTTGTTTTGGTCACCTGTGGTGGTTGTATGGCCTTCTATAAGATAGTGTTCTTTAATAGGGGTAAATATTACTTAGTGACTCTTTTATGGTAATATAAGGTTATATGACATTTTATTGTTTTAATTACTCTTATTAACTATAAGGAAGCCCCTTTGAAAGTTGTGTTTCCCTGGATGATGTAAATAGTCTAAGTGCCATGTTAGGGGGACATTACGGAGCTCAGGAGTCCGCCCTTTGAGGCTCTTGGAGCGGGGAAAGAGAGGTGTATTTACAGGTGTTGATCCCTGGATGATGAAAAATAGTCTAAGTGCCATGTTAGGGGGACATTACGGAGCACAGGAGTCCGCCCTTTGAGGCTCTTGGAGCGGGAAGGAAAGAGAGGTGTATTTACAGGTTGTTGATCCCTGGATGATGAAAATAGTCTAAGTGCCATGTTAGGGGGACATTATGGAGCACAGGAGTCCGCCCTTTGAGGCTCTTGGAGCGGGGAAAGAGAGGTGTATTTACAGGTGTTGATCCCTGGATGATGAAAATAGTCTAAGTGCCATGTTAGGGGGACATTACGGAGCTCAGGAGTCGCCCTTTGAGGTTTGAAGATCGGACAAAGCGAGCTGTATTTACTGTTGTGTTTCCTTGGATGATGTACATCAGGGGTATTCAACTAAAATTCAACGAGGTCCAGTTAGAGAAAATCCCCCCATGCAAAGGTCCGGAACATCAAAATGTCTAAGTTGCTTTATGAATTAGTGTGATATATCGTCACACTAATGTCTGCATGTAATCAACAACTGACTGCCAATCAAATAAAGAAAGTACAATTCATAAACAACAACATTTATTGTCAATTAACATTGAACTATACAGATATACAGTAAATACTGTGGATATGTGTAATGTTCCTCTCTGGCTGCATTTAAAAATAAAATAGGAGAAAATAAATAAAATAGCTTTTGAGAATGTGTGCATCTTAAAAGTGCTTAATTTTAGATATATAAAATAAAGTGTAGCAGCAGCTTGAGTTTCCCTTTTTCTTTGTTAACCGTTTCACATCATGACTTAACAGTTTCAGCCGATTATAGAACAATATCAGTCTTTACACATCATAACAATTGAACAGTTTTAAAGTTTCTCTTTCTTTTCCTCTTATATTGCAGTCCATCATGTTAGGGCTGGGTCAAAAGTTCAGGACCTACAATGGCAGAGACCAGATGGATGCAGTCTTTTAACAAAGTTTAATAAAGGAAAAAAAGGAGCAACTAAAAAACAATCCACAAAATGAAGGAGGATCTAGTTCACGCTGGTGGCGGCGGCAGGACTCAGGCTGGCTCGAGCAGACACTGGGAAAAAACAAGGTTACTCTTCAACAAAAACAGCAAGAGAAAATCACACTAAGTTAGGATACTACAACGTTCAGCTCTACCGAGTGAGACGGAATTATCTGGCACTGGAGTGTGAACATGACCAGGAGGGTGTGGTCCAGGATAAGGGCCTTCGAGATCCAGGACCGTTCTTCAGGACCATATCCCTCTCAGTCCACAAGGTATTGGAAAAATGCCGGCGAATGTCCAGCAGCCGGTGTACTGTAAATGCAGGGTGATCATCAATGATCCGGGGAGGTGGGGGGGGGGTCAGCCGGAGGAGAGAGTGGAATAGAGAAAAAAGGGCTTGAGCAGAGACACGTGGAATGAGGGATGTACCTTGAGAGCAGGAGGAAGGCTAAGGCGGATGACACTGGGATTTATGACACGTTCGATTGTATATGGACCAATATACCTTGGGGCCAACTTGCGCTCAGTCTGGAGCGGCAGGTCGCGAGCAGATAACCAAACCCTTTGGCCGACCTGGTAGTCTGGAGCGTGGGTTCGGTGGCGATTTTGCCAGCCTCTGGTTACGGGCAGCAGTCCGGGTGAGGGTCTGCTCGGCTTCCCGCCAGACTCGGCGGGCACGACGGAGATGGGCCTGGACTGAGGGAACGGTCACTTCGTCTCCTGGCTGGGGAACAATGGGGGCTGGAAGCCATTAGAGACCATAAAAGGGGACATACCTGTGGCGGAACTGACCAGGGAGTTATGGGCGTATTCCACCCATGCCAAGTGCGAAGACCAGGAGGCGGGGAGACGGGCAGCGACACAACGTAGGGCTGCCTGCAGGTTCTGGTTGGCCCGCTCTGCCTGGCCGTTAGTCTGTGGATGGTAACCAGAGGAAGAGACTTGCCGTGGCCCCCAGTGCCTGACAGAATGCCTTCCAAACCTGGGAAGCAAACGGGGACCCCCGGTCTGAGACAATGTCCTGGGGAATGCCGTGAAGCCTAAAAACATGGGACACTAGGAGGTCTGCCGTCTCCAGAGCAGAGGGCAGCTTGGGCAGGGGGACATAATGGACAGACTTAGAGAAACGATCAACAATGGTGAGGATGGTGTATTACCTTCTGACGGAGGAAGTCCTGTAACGAAATCCACAGCAATGTGCGACCAAGGGCGGTTAGGTATGGGTAAAGGGCGTAGGAGGCCAGCTGGAGCACGGTGAGAGGATTTACTGCGGGCACAGACAAAGATAAAAGGCCTGGTGTCAGCAGACATGGTCGGCCACCAAAACTTCTGCTGGATTAGGGTCAAAGTTCTGTGAAAACCTGAGTGACAGGCAACTTTAGAAGAGTGCCCCCACTGGGGCACTGGAGATCTCACGGAGGAAGATATGAACAGCCGATCGGGAGGACAGGCCGCTGGGGCAGGATGTTCCTGGAGGGCCCTCCTGAACGCCCTGCTCGATCTCCCACCTGGCCGCTCCAACCACACAGGAGGTAGGGATGATGGTCTCAACGGAGCTCTCTTCAACAGGGGGTGAAAACTGGCGGGAGAGCCCGTACCCAGGGGGTTTCCTAGTTATGGTTCTGATAACTGCCATGTGTATGTAGTATGCTCCGTCACTATCAAGGTTATTAAACCAAGTTCCAAGATAAACATGACTCGTTTATGAGAACATCAAACAATGTCCAAGGACGTTTGGATTATTTTGATATGTGTTATCAAAGAAATCTGCTGGATTCTCCTCGTCAGCTGTTTAACGTGTATATAAAGACGGGAACAGAGCGAGACGTGTCACACTTCTCTGTCTGAACAGCGATATTTCAGAATGAGGAAAGCTGCAGTTTTGCTGCTCTGTCTGCTCTGGACGGGGGGCTCAGGGTGAGGATGGAGCTCAGAGACAGAATGCAGGTAAGCTATCTGATTTGAACTCTTTAGTGTGGTAGAAAACAGGTGTCAAACTTTCTAATATGTGATGACGGAAACTGAAATAAACTGAGGATAAAAACTATATTTTACTATAAAGATTTTAAACTTGTTCAGCTCTAGAGAACAGGATGAGCTCCAGTGAAAAGCAGGTGGTGGAGCTCCATACAGGGAACTCAGGTAAGAAACAGAAACTATTATGAAGAGTCAAAGTATTGTATAAGAATAGAACTGGTATACTGATATACCAGCAAATATCAAACTCTGCTGCATCCTCCTCTTTCTCACAGCCGGTCCTCAGGTGGCGTTCTCAGCCGGTCTCAGTGATGCAGGAGTAGTCGGACCCTTCGGCACTAACAGTATACTGAAGTACACTAAAGTCTTCACCAATATCGGCCAGGCCTACAGCGCAACTACAGGTACTGAGCACACACACACACACACACACACACACACACACACACACACACACACACACACACACACACACACACACACACACACACACACACACACACACACACACACACACACACACACACACACACACACCACACACACATTCATTTACAGTAGATGTGTGACTGTAAGCTTTCTTAAGAGTTTTCTTAATGAAACCATTAAAACATCTCTTAGTTTTCCTACAGTTGATCATGGTAGAAAATAGAACACAGTCAAGAGCTCCTTATTTAAAAAACACATCCTTAAGTCCTGCTGAAGCACCAGAAACAATCTCCCCTCACTGATCTTCTCCTCTGATGCAGGTATCTTCAAAGCCCCTGTCAAAGGAGTCTACTACTTCAGCTTCAACATGTGGGGAAGCCGCTTTGTATCAGATACCGCTCTTGAATTCGCTCTCAACAACGTGATGAAGATGAGGCTTCAAGATTACAATGATGCCTATGGCTTTGTCTCTGCGTCTAACTCAATTGTTCTTCAGCTGGAGAAGGGAGATGTTGCCAACATCGTTCTGCCCTCCAGCTACAACGTTTATGATGAGTTGTTTAATCGCATGATTTTCAGTGGATTTCTACTCTTTCCTCTGTGAAGCCCACTGTAAAACACCCACTGCATTAAGTTTCAACATTACATATTAATAAATAAGTGTGTTGACTAAATGTATATAATTGTTTGTGTTTATTTTTGATTGGTTACATGAACAAGAGGCATTCATTACCATAACAACGTTTTCTACGGACAATATAAGACAAACACTTTAGCAGTACTGTTGTTGTCCAAACCCCCTAAACCGAGACCAAGTCAAGACCAAAGAGCCCTCTACAGTCTGTGCCCTGACTACAGAAGTGAGAGACCCACACTGCATGACACAGATATGAAAAATATATAACGTAAAAATCAGAGACACTCCTCAAAATGATCTGTCATATCCACAATCCCAGAAAAACTCAAATGTCTTCATTCACCTGGTTGCTTGCCTTATATACTTACAGTATATGTGGTAACACTTTATATTAAGGTACACAAATTAACCATCAACTAGTTGTTAATTAACATGCATATTAGCAGTAGATTGGCTCTTTATTAGTCATTATAAAACACTTATTAATGCCTTATTCTACATGACCATATTCTACAAGTAATAAGCCATTAGTTGAGAGTTTTTCCTCACTAACCCTCTAATCAGTGCTTATTTGTTGCAAGTAAGGAAGTTGTTGTACATGAGTTTTTGGTCTTAATATGCTCTGCTCAATATGGGCCTAATAAGGCAGTAGTACCACAAGAATAGTAATTCTCCCATAATAACACTTAACAAATATGATCTATTCTTATGTAACAAGACTTGAAACTATAAGTGTTAATTGTGTTTTGACACAATTAACAACCCTAGGGTTGTGTTTAACCCTAACACAAGTGTTTTCTAACAACATATAACATTGGGGTCTGATAATTACGTTAGCTCTGACCTAGCTTTTATTTCTGGGGTGTTTTTTATATTCACACCTTACCTTTCAGTATTTAGCCAACGTTGCATAGCTAAAAACTGGATCAATACCAACCATCCGGGACCAGGACACATCCAATTTGGAAGCTGTACGTTTTTCCATGTTAATATTTGCATTCCTTTTTATTTAGCGGTGTTTTTCCTGATAAAGTTATCTCTACTACGTAGCTTGTAGCATGTAGCTTGTCAGGGTTGCCAACTCTCACGCATCTGGCGTGTGACACACGCTTTCACTCTCAATTTCACGCTCTCATGCTGCCCAAACTATTCTCATGCCAAAAACAAGAATACCGAAGACTAGAAACGGTTTTGAAAACTTTTGTCACGTAGTGATTGTCTTCTCAATAGAACATCTTTGATAATGTCTTCTGGCCAATCAGAATCACGATAACGGCGTGGTGTTGTTTCAGGAAGTCCCGACGGAGAATACTTTTGCGGTAGTACATCTCTATACATCGATACAACATTACGTGTTGATAGAAATCAACACGTAATGAAATAAGACCCCACGGTTTGATGATTGATAGGTGTGTGGGCTGTCTTTCATTTTGACACACAGAACAATGGGGGCTATCCACCCTTATCCACAATGTAAAGTAATTCACACAGCCTCTTCCCTCTTCTCTCTGTGAGGAGCAGCAGGTTCAGCTTTCAGAACAAAGTCACAAAAAACAAAAATGGCATTAATTTTTTTAAATATGTCGTGTAGTAATAGATTTATTTATTTTTCTTCTCAAGAGAGTACCAGAATGTGTATTTTATGTTAGTATTTTAAAAAATCTCCTCGGGGAGAATCCCCCCAGACAGGGGTTGGGTTTTCAGCATGTCAACTCTTTCACCTGTAGGGAAATTGTAGGATTGGCTCCAGGTCGCCCTTTTTATTTACTACAAGACAAATGTGCCTTTTTATTTCATGCAGTTCAATTTGGATTGAGACAGGGAAATAATCTAAACCTCACGTGTGGCGTTTCACTGTCGGGGGGAGCGTGTATGTAATTACATTGCAAATACTGACTTGAGCCTCACCACTGTATGGGTTAGCCCTACCATAGATTACCCAACAAAAATACTCTGGAGCCGCAACTGCCGACCCGTATTGCGCATGCGCAGATCTAAAATCCAGTTGAAATGATAAAAAAGTAAAAGTCTGCTGCTTATTGTTCTACTAGGCCAAAATAGAGTCAAAGAGTATATGAGAGTGAGAGTGTGTTAATTAATATATTTGGCAGTTTGGAGTAAGTCTGTGGATTTGTTTGTGTGTGTGTGTTTCATGTATAGGCCTCTCACGATAATTAATTTTGTTGGATACATTTTCCCGGAAATTATTGCGATAAACGATAATATTGTCGGCACCGTTGTATGACCATTTTAGACCACTGACATAATGATAATAATAATAATTCTTAAGTACATTCTTTCAAACTGCTAGTCACATCCTCATGTAAATGGCAATTTATCGAGGTCAGAAAAGTTATCGAGTTCATTTTTATTTATCGTACGATAAGTCAATTAATTGCTTATCGCGACAGGCACACAATAAAACAGTGGAAACAAACATGTTTGACTTTCATTAGTGAATGAAACTGTGTGCCCTTTATAGTCTGTGTCCATTATTGTGTATTTGTATATATTGTATATATATCCTATATGCTAAGGTCCCGCTGCTGACACGATAGCAGTCATTTCGTGCGCATATGTGTAATTAAACCGAATTAAACCCATGATATCAAAATCTCACTCCAGCCAGGTACCCAAAGTTGGCAACCCTGAGCTTGTAGCATGTAGCTTCGCCGTATCAATGTCGCCTCAAACCCAAACAGTAATCGGTTGGGTGTTTATATGTTTTTGTAACATTTTATTTCATTTTGTAAGCTCCGCAGTCTTTTCTATTTAAACTATCAGGCATTTGCTAACCTGTTCAGACATACTGCTGTAATGGCGATCTGTGTGAAGGCTGTAAAGCTACGCCCTAGCCGATAACACAAGTATTTATTCTCCTATTTATAAAGTATTTTTGATCCTCTAAAATCATATTGAGTAAGTTATAATAACAAACGTGATCTTCTGTAGGTAAGTGCCGTTTTTTCCAGTGTTTTATGTAAAAGCTTTTGTGATTGTAGTCTATAAGAATTATCAAATATCACCGATCTGTAAGCTAAGCTAAGCTACGCTACGCGAATGAGACGTGTTGTGATTCAGCAGTCTTTATTTTCATCTGAAATCATATTGAGTAAGACAACAACACACGTAATCTTCTGTAGCTAAGTGCCGTTTTTTGCAGCATTATATGTAAAAGCTTTTGTGATTGTAGTCTGTAAGAATTAATAAATATCACCGATCAATCAGATCGATTGAGCTAAACTACGCTACGCTATTGGGACGTGATTTGATTCAGCAGTATTTATTACTTGTTTGCGCACATGAATATACATATGTGTGTGTGTGCACGACTGTTAGGATACAACAGTGTGTGTATGTGTGCGCAATTGTTGCAAGGAGGGGGGAAAAACACAACGCTGCACAGCTCGAATCTTGAAGCCTCATCTTCATCACGTTGTTAAGAGCGAATTCAAGAGCGGTATCTGATACAAAGCGGCTTCCCCACATGTTGAAGCTGAAGTAGTAGACTCCTTTGACGGGGGCTGTGAAGATACCTGCATTCGTCTTTTGTTTTCTTTATGTTCTCTGTATTTTATATGTTTGTGTTATGTGTTATGTGTAACGTTGCTGCCTTCTTGGCCAGGTCAGCATTGAAAATGAGATTTTATCTCAATGTTTTTTATCTGGTTAAATAAAGGTTAAATAAAAAAATAAAAAATCAGAGGAGAAGATCAGTGAGGGGAGATTGTTTCTGGTGCTTCAGCAGGACTTAAGGATGTGTTTTTTAAATAAGGAGCATGTAGGAGCTCTTGACTTTGTTCTATTTTCTACCATAATCAACTGTAGGAAAACTAAGAGATGTTTTAATGGTTTCATTAAGAAAACTCTTAAGAAAGCTTACAGTCACACATCTACTGTAAATGAATGTGTGTGTGTGTGTGTGTGTGTGTGTGTGTGTGTGTGTGTGTGTGTGTGTGTGTGTGTGTGTGTGTGTGTGTGTGTGTGTGTGTGTGTGTGTGTGTGTGTGTGTGTGTGTGTGTGTGTGTGTGTTGTGTGTGGGAGACAATGGGAGATACTGTTATCTCAAAAACATTGTGAGTAAAGAAACTGTGACATGCAAAGAAAGGATTTTCACTAAAACTGATGTTACATCCCTCAGAGATGTCTATTCTTCTTCTTTTTTAAAACCCATACTGTGAGAAAGGAACTAGATTATCTGAAAGATTACTTATTTTTGTTTAAACCAACAGTGTGGGGACACCTGCCTGATACAGAGTCACAGGGACTGACCATAAAAACAGGAAAGGGAGATAAAAGAAGGGGGGAGGGTCTGGAGGGGGAGGTGTTTTGACTCTGGACCCTAGGGTGGGGGAAAGGAAGAGGTAGATGATTAATTTGATAGATCTGACTTGTTTTGGTTGAAGGAAGAGACACGGGCGAGGAAGAAGCAGAAAAATAACTTGTTTGTATAAAGGACAGCACATATTTTTTCTCAAATGTATGTCAATTTCAAGAAAGATGAGAGGTTTTATGCATGATGTGCAAAATATCCTGGAACCCTTCAAAAAAGAAAAGCAGGTACAGGTAAAGTATGTTGAAATATTTCACAAAAAGTGAGTTGTATGTTGTAATAGTTGATAAAAAATCTCTGTGTAGTTTTTCAAAATATAATGAACGAAGTCATGGAGGTAAAAAAAATAGCACAGTATGGGGAAAATATGAAAACAGCACGTTGAAAAAAGTAATGTTATGCTAGAATAACATGAAATAATTCACAGTAAAGCATCTAAAAAAAAAACATTTAAAAAAAGTCAGGTTATTAAAGTTATTAAAACTGTATTGTTTCACCGAAACAGTGTTAAAATCACAAACTTTCCATTTAGAGTTTGATTCTTTAAGAAACTCAATTCATTACAAATTAATTCATATTTTACCAAGTTGTAAAGTTTTGCATCCATTAAAGTGTAACTATAAGTATCTTTGTA